CTCACATGTGCTAGGCAAGCGCTCTACCACTGAGCTATAGCCCAGGCCCCCCATATTTTAACTTTTTTTTTTTTTAAACTGCACTCTCATAATTCACCAAAGAAAATTTTATCTCTATCTCATTCCAACTTTGTGTTCTTTGTGTATCCTTCCAGAAATATTCTGAGGCTAAACTAACAAATATATAACATAGAAGTTACTATTTGAACCATTTTAAGGCATATAGTTCAGTAGCATTAACTATATTTACTTTGCTGTATACTTATTTACTTTTTTTTTTGTCTAAACACAGTGTTAGTTTTTTTTATTTTTTTGTTTTTTGTTTTTGTTACTAGAGATTGAACCCAGTAGTGTATTACCACTGACCTGCATCACCAGCCCTTTTTATTTATTTATTTATTTTGTTTTAGGATACGGTCTCACTAAGTTGCTGAGGCTGGCCTCAAACTTGTGATCCTCCTCTCCCAAGTTGCTGGGATTATAGGTGTGTGCTACTGCATTTGTAGTAATAATTTTAAATTATTTCACATTTGTGTAAGCATATCTATCAGAACACATTTTGGAAGTAGAACTCCTAGGCCAAAGGGTATATATATATTTACTATTTTGACAAATAATTACTAGTTGCCATAGCAATATTTTTTTTGCAAATATTTATTTTTTAGTTGTAGTTGTCAGTAACTTTATTTATTCATTTATATGCCTTTATATTATTTTCATTTATTTTTATGTGGAGCTGAGGATGGAACCAGGGCCTCCCACGTGCTAGGCAAGGGCTTTACTGCTGAACCACATCCCCAGCCCTGCCATAGCAATGTTATATATATACTCTTTCTGATGATTATACCAAAGAACTGTCAAGAACCTTTGTTAATTTGGGTATTTTGTCTTTGTCTTTTAGATTAATGAAAAATGGGTCTTTTAGTATGTCCATTTTGAAACTTACTTTTAAATAATCTTCTGAAAATATCATAATTGTAGCACTTAGGAGACATAGCAAGTCACAATGAAAATAAGAGTTACATTATTTTTGCCCAGGGATAACTGCTGTTAATATTTTGGAATATAAGTGTGTGTGAAATAGAAACAGGCTTTCAATGAGAATAACATTCTTAGAATAAAGTAGTAAATATTTATTATAAACACTTCATGAGATTCATAATACTATAAATAATTTACTGATATTTACCTTCTTTTTTTTGGTACCATAGATTGAACTCAGGGACACTTGACCACTGAGCCACATCCCCATACCTTTTCTGTATTTTATTTAGAGACAGGGTCTCACTGAGTTGCTTAGCACTTTGCTTTTGCTGAGGCTTGCTTTGAACTCTTGATCCTCCTGCCTCAGCCTCCCGAGCTGCTGSGATTACAGGCGTGCGCCATGGCACCCAGCCCTTCATTTTTTTTTTTTTTAAATTAAATACGTGACAATAGTGGAATGCATTTTTTAAAATATGGACACAATATCTTTATTTTTATGTGATGCTGAGGATGGAACATGCGAGGCAAGCGCTCTGTCACTAAGCTATAACCCCAGTTCTCCCAGCTCTCCAGTTTTAAAACCTAGAAAAAATAATTTATATACATATATTTGTCTGGTTTTATTTTATATTAATTTATATTAATTCAAGTTGGTTAATATTAATTTTAATGGTTGATCTGTACATCTTTTTATTAAGAATTAACCTTCATCCTTTAACTATATTTTTATATCCTTTAGGCTGAGGGTTTGTCATTTTCTTACTAATTATATAGGCTTTTATTGGGGATACTGCAGGCAGATTGAACCAGGGCCTTTGGATGTTCCAGGCAAGTGCTGTACCACTGAGCTACGTTCTCAATCCCTCTCCTGCTTTTTTTGAGTAGGGTCTCACTAAATTGCTGAGACTGGTCTTTAATTTGCAATCCTGCCTCATCTTCCCAAGTAGTTGGGATTACACGGTATGTGGAATTACATGTGTGTGCACCATACTCAGTTGTATAGGCTTTTTATAGAGGTTTTGTATAGGCTGTAGTAGGAATTACAAATATTTTTTTTCCATTTTTTCATCTGTTACAAAGTTATGTATTTGCTATTTTGTTGGGGCTACATTATTTTTATCTATGAACTCAAGGAGTGTTGATACCTTTATGATACTGACTCTTGTTCTCCAGGATTAGGATGCATTGTCTTTGTTTTCTTCAAATAGTATTTTAAGATTTTCTTCATAGAAATCTTGCATATTTGTTATGTTCATTCATAGATATGTTATCTTTCAGGTTATTCTASTTTCTTTTTTTAATATTTACTTTTTAGTTGTAGTTGGACACAATACCTTTATTTTATTTATTTTTTTATGTGGTGCTGAGGATCAAACTCAGGGCCTCACGCATGCTAGGCAAGCGCTCTACTGCTGAGTCACAACCCAAGACCATGTTATTCTACTTTCTAAATTTAAACTTTTTTTTTTTTTTTTTTT